GATAAGGAAACCAAGATTCGACGGGGAAAGGAAGAAGCGAGATAACCACAAAGAAGCCTAAAGCCTTGAGCATGCAGTAGTTTTCCTCCGCGTCATTTAGGGCGGAATTTCCGGGTTCGAAGCTGAGTGAAGATGAAGTGGCATCTGCTCCTTCCTCCCTGGGTATTGTTCCCAACGAACACGAATTTTGCCAATATGTGCGAGCAATGCCGCAGTAGTAGTCTTTTCCAAGCGATGCATCACAACATTCTGGCGATTACCTTACCTTAACTGTGATGCAATGCCCTTGTTTAGTATCATACCTTCTCTTCAGCTTTTTCTATCCTCAACAGTGGAAGGAACCCACGGATACTGTTCATCGTTTCCGAGGCCCTCCTCTCTCATCTCCGTATCATACAAATGCGCCGTGTTTTCTTATTTCCTGTCGATCCGGCCCTGTCTTCGTATTGTCTAGTTGTTGGGTATAGATAAGACAGACCATCGGCTACAGATTATGTTTGTATGCCATTTGCGCTGGACTGTGAAGGCGCTGTTGCATCTCTGACGGTCTGCTCACGCTTGTAGTCCTCCTCGAGAGCGCGCTGCATGTCGAAGTCGAGTTGGCGTTCTCGCTTGATGCGCTGTTGTTCGATGTCGCGTACCACTCCTTGATGCATAGCCTAGGCACTCTTGTTTAGATACAGATTCCTGTAGGAGCGTTGGTATTCCAAGATGATACATGCCTCTTTTTCAAACTTTTGTTGGAAATGAACAATGACAATGGTGCTGGCGGCGAACAGCGATGTCGCGGCCAACGTAAGCTTCGAAGCCCTGGACATTGTTGGAAGACGATGGTCGAACGTGTGGGTGGCGTGTGGAAACGAACGATATGCAAGGCTCGAGCAGAGGATTTTCAAGACTCTGGTGATGTTGGTGGTTCGATTTCGGTGTTTGAATCTCTCCCCGAGAGCGACAGCATCCGCCGCGTCGGTGTCGGTTACCTCGGTTCTCGATTCGACCGCAAATATCCGTAAAACAGGGGCCAATAAACGCCGTTGCGTACCTGCCGATCTCAAGATATCTACCGCAAGTTCACGCAATTACCATCTTCAACAAGTGCATTGCAGAGCACCCTGAACGCCTCGAATCGCAGGAGCAGGTGTCTTGTTGCATAAATGCCTGACGTGGATGCCTCACCTGTGTATGTCAGCGGTCCCGCTAGCTCCTACCCCCACTAGCTTACCGGGTACCAAGCGTGGTGGCAAGGTACCTTACGATAGGGAGACGGGAGCTTGAGGTGGAGGGGAGATCGAAGGTACAGTGCTCGAGGCGGCGCGGCTGTGCACTGTGACCTTCCTTGGCCCCTACCTTGACGTTCGCTCCGTCACCAGCGCACCCCAGCTTTGTGATTGTTGACAACTACCTTACCTTACTTACGGCTATCAACACATCTCCTGTAGTCGCTCCTTGTGATAGCAATCGGCCAGCAGTCTCGAATCGCGCAATCATTCTACATTGTTTTCTCCGCTAGCTACACCTGCAACAGTACTACACAATGGTGAGGACGTGTGACGCGGACAGGAACGTCATCTCATCAACTTGCAGCAAGCTGATTTGGCACTCTACAGTCGGCTCAGAATTCAGCTGGTATTCAGACCCTCCTGGACGTATGTGCCCTCCGTCGCGACACACCACATCGAATTGCCACTGACCTAAGCGATGCAGGCAGAGAGGGAAGCTTCAAAGATTGTCCAAAAAGGTAGGCCCAAAGGTACATGTTGAAGTAATCGGTTGGCTAATGTATGAACCCTACCTAGCCCGCGAGTGTAAGTTTCGAGGCCGATTAATACTGCTGCGATGTGACATACTCACGTAATATCGAAATAGTCCGTACGAAGCGGGTCAAGGAAGCCCGAGACGAGGCCAAGAAGGAAATCGAGGCGTACCGCAACTCTAAGGAGGATGAGTTCAAGAAGTTCGAATCTGAGGTATATCTGTCGTGGACTCCGACACCACTCCGATATGATCTTGGTGCTGACAATCCCCTAGCACTCCCAAGGAAACAAAGCAGCCGAGGAAGAGGCAAATAAGGAGGCCGAAGGAAAGATCAAGGAGATTCAGGGGGCCGGAAAGAAGAGCCAAGACAAGGTTGTAGCTGACCTCCTGAAGGCCGTCTTCGAGGTCAAGCCTGTCGCGCCGACTGCCGCATGAGCCATTACCAGCATGCTTCGTAGCATCAAAGCACATTGATATCGAGTGGATCGGACACGCTGTGCGAAGCATACGAATAGAAATGAAGCCAGCACTCATGTCCGGGGGGAGAAGAGGATGACGACGACGCGTTCACAGATTGCCAATGATGCGCGAAGCCAGGACAGTAGATGGAAGCGCCAGTTGTTTGCGCGGTGTGACTGAAACTCTGGAGAATCGCACCTACATAGATCGGGTAGCTGTGGTGGAATTGTACTTTGCTAGCCTGTCCTCCCCTTCTACTTCTTCCGCTTCTTATTCTTCCCTCTAGAGTAAAAACTCCATGAGGGTGCTGAGCATATCGAATAGATCCTTGTGCTCGGGCTTTTCCAGGTTGAGGCCAGATCGGTATTCTTCCAACGTCGCTTTGATGGCTGACAGACCCTCACCGTCAGCGGCCAGGAGCTTCTGCACCTTCTTTCTAGCACCGGAATCTTCAGCTATGAGCCAGGCCAAGACAACATCGATGTTCCAGAAGCTATAAAGACCTTCCTCGATCCTCCTCATGAACCACTCGCCTTCCGAGAGCTCAGTCTCTTCGGCGCTCATGCCAATTCCTTCTTGACGAATCTTTTCCTGTTGCGCATCCAACATGGAACTATACCTCCTCCGACACTCGTAGAGCCGACCTAGCTTTTCGTAGTCCTTCTCCACGAATTTAGCCAATGTCCTGATTCTCTCGGCAGACTCAGCGGGCAAGAATCGTAGCAGGGACCTGAATACATCAAACAGGCTTTCTGTCATCTGTCTCTGGGTTTTGCTCGTCTTTTTGAAAATGGAGAAGAGCACTTTCAGCCCGCCAGCATCTACTAATTTTCGGCATAGTTGCCCGCTCATATCCTGGTCAACGCTGTGTACGAGAAGACGCATCGCCGGCTGCTTGCTCATCTTAGCCTCCTTGAGCATAATCAGGCATAATTCAACGCCCTCGGCTTCGAGGAACTTGGCCTTGCCTTCTGGCTCATCCACAATACAGACGAGGGCGTTGAAGAGGTTCTCCATATACTCTTCCTCCTCGCCCCCTTTTTCGGGGTCACGTTTGCGATACGCAGAGACCAGCTGGAGTAAAACCTCGACGGCATCCATCTCGGCGAGTGTCCGTCTTGTTGCTGGCGATGCGTTCGCAATGATGTCGAGAATCTCCGTAGCATATTGCTTGTTTTGGGACACGGGTGTCTCTTGGCGCTGTGCTCTGTCAAGTAGCCATTTGACCAGCGTCGTGTTCTGTCCCACCTTTTCAGCATGCGCCGTTTTGGAGAGCAGGTTTTCAACAACTCCAAGAGCATGGTATATACCACCACGGTCAGACTCATCCTCCTCGTTCAGACGCGAGAAGTTGGACACTAGCAAGCCGATGAGGTCTGCAGTCAATAACGCATCCACTAGAGTGTCCCAATCCTGATCAGCTGCATTGACGTCCTCGTCAATGAGCTCGCCAATGATTTCCACCGCATCAATCGCAATATCTGTATTGTCATGGGCCAGCAAACCGACGAGGCTCTCGACGCATCCCAACTTGGCAAATTGGGGATATAACTCGGGGTGCTCGGACAGGATCGAGAGGTCTTTGATGGCAGCATCGAGATCGGCCTCGCTCTCAATAAACTTGTGAGGCTCGTCGGCGAACCTTGCGCGCAGCTCAGCGTTTCGCGTGATGCGCTTCTCAAAGTTTAGTGCCGTTTTTCGTACCCAACCAGCATCGATCTTTTCAGGAGCGGATGATTTCTCTCCATGGTCATCTACGAAGTCGAGGATCTCAGACTCCTGCTTTGTGATACCCCCGCCAAAGAACCGTCCCTCGTCGTCATCGTCTGGCGGCATCTCTGGGCCATAGTCTTCGTCTTCGCCATCTTCGTGTGGGTTTTGTGGGCCGGCAGTGAAATCGCTATCGTCTCCTTCCGCGTCTACTGCGCTCGCGTGTCGACTGATGGCGTCAGCTGCGCTCAATTTGGCTGACTTGTATATTTCAGCTATTCATCTGTTACTTCGTATTCGCTACCGGGCAATTTAGTTCTTCAGAACGGGGCATTGGAGGCAGGTACTAACTGGGATCTCGCACAGCATCAAGCTTCCTTTTCGCAGCACTGCCGGACTTTGGAGTGCTTGGTGAGTAAGGATGTGGTTAGGAAGCTTATGGTGCAACTCACTTTGAACAACTCGTTCACATCCGACATTTCCTCGGATTGGTTTCGGAAGAGAATTGGGGTGACTGGTGGGTTTGTTGCGCTGTTCGGTAGGTGAATTTGCAGGAACGATAGTAGGCTTGTGCTTTGGATGAATTAAGAAGCTTTCAGACGCGATGCTGCTCAGTGTCGTCGCGCCTGGCTCAGCGATCCAAGGTACCTAGCTTAATTTGAGGAACCTTCGAGGTACGTATATGTCATAAGTAACGTATTTAAGTAACCTGCTTACAGGCTGGGTGGCACGGGTGGGTATTGCACCTGGTTAAGCCAAGGTCACATGTAGGTAGGTGAGGTAGTCAATTATAAATCCACACTGTAGCTGTAGCCCGCTCATAGCTCAGAGTACCTATGCAAATATGCATACAACAAAACAAAAGTGAAGCATGCCCACCCACCCTGTATATCACGGTGGGTGACTTGCCGTTTCCAGTATTGCCGCTACGCTTAGACTTACCTACTCCGGCCTCATAGAGCTACTTACTTTTGTAACTGTGTGAATCAGTTATCTGCATCAACTGTCCAAAATAGAGCTTCTAGTATTCTGGAGAACACAACTGTGCACCTGTAGCAAACCTTTCAAATATCGCCATGCCGCCGACCATCGTGCTCATCCGCCATGCCCAGGCGCTGCACAATGTTGATGATGAGTCTTCCGACCAGTTTCACAGTCGCGAGTCAATCTAACACCACACTACAGGACTGGAACATTCATGACCCTGATCTATCTTCTCTTGGCTTGGACCAATGTCAGGAACTAAAGGAAAATCTCTCACAGCGTTTCGCCGATGAGACTGATGCAATCATCATCGTGAGCCCCATGAGACGCACGATCCAGACAGCCCTTCTCTCCTTGGATTGGCTGATCAAGAAAGGGGTGCCGATTCAAGCCGACGCTCGATGGCAAGGTAATAAGCCGTACAATCCTCCTGCCATTCGGGGTGACCTCTCAAGATTTTCTGAGGCCACGTCACTGACTATAGTGTAGAAAACTCTGCGAAGCCATGCGACACAGGCAGCACTATCGCAGATTTGAAGGTCGAATTTCCTGGTGTTGACTTTTCCACTGTAGATCCCATCTACCCGAACAAAACACTTCCTGCCGGCGCCCTATATGCTTTCAACAGGGAAGCTATACTCGGCCGAGGTCAGTCAGGCTTGCAGAACGTCTATGAACGCAAGGAGAAGCTTGTCTTCATTGTCTCTCACTCTGGGTTCCTCCGCGCCGGCGTGACGGGATATTGGTTCTTCAACGCAGACTATAGGATCTTCGAGTTTGAAAAGAGCGGAACGCCAGGGAAGTCTTACCAGCTCCAACAAGTTGAATCAACCCTAAGTGGTGGTCTTGGCAAGTCGAGGACGGAACCTGTAGTCATAGGCTCGGAATTACCGCCAGCTTCGGAGACTCCCCCACAAGCCTGGCATTTGAGGCACGAGAAGTCAAATGTCGATTATGACACCCGCCAAAGGATCCATATACTTGGGGTACCGCAAGCATGCATCGCAGCGGTCTCAACCACAGGAAATCAACAGGAGGCCTAGGGCTCTTCGTGGGTTGACACCGTAATGAAGGAGACCAGACACTATACAGGAAAGATCTATTCCCAGCGGCCGAATCTCTCTAGATGAAAGGGACCAATTAAGCTTGGACATATTCTTAACACACCAAGTTTCCCTGTCTTCATACACATACATGGGCCCTGTGGGCCCCTTTCTCTCTCCAACTTTTGTACAAACGTATTCCATATTCGACAGCCCATACCTACCCACCATTGGCGTTGCTCATCTGGAGAGGAAGCTTTGGAAAGCAGACTGGTCAATGACAACGTTGCCTACGGCGCGAAGTCGCTTGCGCCCGGCCTTCTGCTTCTCCAACAATTTCTTCCGGCGCGTAATGTCGGAAGCATGTAGCTTTGCAAGCACATCTTTCCGGAACGGCTTGATAGTCTCGCGTGCAACAATCTTCCTGCCCGCCACCGCTTGAATGACGACCTCTGCAAAGCGTCATGTCAGAAGATGCTTCCGTAATACTGGTGCGCTATATAGAGGACTCACCAAACATCTGCCGATCGACGTGGTTCTTGAATTTAGTTACCCACTGCCTGCCGAGGCGCTCTGCCTGTGAGGTATGAATGACACGACAAATGGCATCCACGGGCTGTTTATTGACAAGAAGCTGCAGCTTCGTGAGCTGGCTAGCTCGCCAGCCAGAGTCTTCATAATCTAGTGTCGCGTATCCCTTTCTACTCTGGCCGTTAGGGCAAAGGTCCAATGTGATGGAAGGGAGCCAAACCTACGTTGCTCCTTTGAGTTTACCAAACAGGTCGTCGACGAGTTGAGCTGCGGGGATGTCGTATTTGAGAATAACTTGTGTTGCATGAAAGAATTCAAAACTCTTTTGCTCACCACGCACGCTCTCGCAGAGCTCAATAACACGGCCGAGGTACTCCTCTGGAAGAGTCATAGTAGCAGTAACGAAACTAACAAAGAGGATCAGGTTAACTGCAGGGTAGATAGAAATCAGAGAAGACGTCAGCTTACGGTTCCAAGACAGTTGCACCACGCATCCGGTGCTCCTCCTGACTGGGGAAGTCAGCTGGGTTCTGATAGATCGTCTCTGTCCCATCAGCCCATTCGACCTTAGTCGGCACGGTCGGGTCCGTGATGATGATGCTGGCGCCGTGTTCCTGTTTTAACCGATCCTGGAATACAGAGCAGTGTAAGCTGCCTAGAAAACCTAGTCGCCAGCCTGCCCCTAATGCCTCGGAATAGTCCTTCTGCAGGGTCACGCTCCTGTCATTTAGAACAAGCTGGCTGATGCTGTCTGCGAGACGCGTATAGTCGCCCTGATCGGTGGGAAAGGCCGCGACAAAGACCATGGGTTTTGGTTCCTCGAAGCCCGGGTACGCCTGGACAATGTCCTCCGATCCGACGGTGGTGAAGGTGTCGCCGAGTTTGGCGTCCTGGATGCGTTTCATACCGGGATTGAAGTAGATGTAGCCTACCTGCCCAGCACGAAGGACACTCTGTGGGACGGCATTGGGGTACTGTATGCCGACCTCGCCGACGGTGTATTTGTGGCCAGTGGCGAATGAGACGAGATTATCTCCAGCCTTGACCTGGCCATCAAAGACGCGTACAAGCAGGATCACGCCCCTGAAATTGTCGTACCACGAATCTACCAACAGGATGCGCAAGGGTTTGGAAACATCGCCGACAGGATGCGGGATCTTCTCAACAACAGCGGGGAGGATGTTGGCCACGTTCTTCCCAGTCTTAGCTGATACAAGAACAGCCGTGGGAGGCTCCAGCTCAAAAGACGTGTGCATTTGCTCGAGCACTCTCGGTACGTCGGCAGAGGGCATGTCAATTTTGTTGACAACAGGAATGAGAGCCAGGTCCTGGGCAAATGCAAGATGAAAATTAGAGACAGTTTGGGCCTGGATACCCTGACTGGCATCGACTAGCAGTAGAGCACCACCGCAACTGGCGTACGATCGCGTTACTTCGGCTCGAAAGTCGACATGACCAGGAGTGTCAACGAGATGCAAGAGGTAGTCGTCGCCTTTGTAGTTGTATATCATGGTGCAAGTTTGCGCCTTGACAGTAATGCCCCGTTCACGTTCGACATCCAATTTATCCTGCGAAATGATAAGAAGCTATTAGCTTTGCGCCCTGCTCAGCGTGCAGCCATACGGACAGACACGAACTCACGAGAATTTGCTTGTTGGCATCGCTAGCAGATATTGTACCGGTGATCTCCAGAAGGCGGTCGCTGAGCGTACTCTTGCCGTGGTCGATATGGGCCACGATACAAAAGTTACGGTATCGTTCAATGGGAATTGAAAGTATTCGCTCCTCGAGTGCAGACCGCGACGGCGCCGCAGGCTTAGCGAAGGTCGGCGTGCCGCAGTGAAACGATCTTTCATGATTGATGCCACTCCGTCTCAACGTCTCCCATTGCCATGACCGTTGCGCAGGAACATCGCCTTGCAAGGAGATACGTGCCGGCTTCCTCGACGAGGGTATTCGTGGCAATTTGCGTGGAATACCGACCAATTGGTCCCGCGTAAAGCGCACGCTCGTCGCTAAGGGGCCGCGCATCAAAGTATGTTCCTCTGCATCGAGCAGATCCAAGCTCGGGGTTCGAATGTCCCAAGGGCGAGGGTCTGATAGAAGTCGACGGTAGTTGGCTTGGGGCGTTCAACACATTGAACCATGGCGCTTTTCTCGCCAGGTGCGAAGACAGCTGAGAAGAATGGTGCACTAAACATGACAAGGTACCTTAGGTACGGTCCTTAAGGTAGGTACGGTGTCATTGGAGCACCTACCACGTGGATGAGGTGCCTTAAGGTACCTGACACGCTACTTTTCGCCCATCATCAGCCCGTGTGTTTTACTTCGCAGGTAAGGTACGGAGCCCCTACCTTAGTGGTCAGCAGACGGGCGCTCTTAGCGGCCTATCAACCTAAGGTACCTTAAGGTAAGCTGGTGCGGGTCATCCTAGGTACTGTACGAAGTACATGGGCAGGCGGCCCTTCCGCCGGGTACTGCTGAACCCTGCAAATCAGTACCTTGGGTTCCTGATGAGCTGTGGTCCCGCCGCCCGCCTCCGGTACCACATCCGCAGGCAACGGTGCCAGATCCTCAAGTCAACTAACATTGTCATGCCTATGCCCAAACGATGGCTGATAATAGAAGCTCGCCTTGCGACAACAACAAAACTTTACGTGAATCTCCAGTCAACCCAGTCTCAGTGTTGGAAAATGTTGAGGTATCTTTTGGAGTCTGAAAATTTCGAATCCAGCACCAGCAAGCAGGCTCACATAGGCGATCATCCGCTGTCCCGTCCTGCTCCAGCTTCTATCATAACATCAGACCTTCTCACCCATTTGTGGCTCATGATTAAAAACAAATCCCGTGGCAGCCCGTTCAGCAGCCCTTTACTTCTCTTGCATCATGCCTCCATAGCTTGCTTGTCATATCCACACGGACATTTCGTGCCGCGTGGCTCATGCTTTGTTACCTTAGTTGAGAACCCACTCGCTCCCCCTCTTGATGAATTTGTCCAAGAGGAGGCTCAGGTCGGACAACACAAAACGACAGATGAAGAAGCCAAAAAACTCAGCCGCATGTCGTGTGCACAGCTCGAGGCCAACCTGTGTCTTGTCGGCATGCCGAAGGCCTGGATCTTCAACCTGGCGTGCGATTTGGTCTGCATCCAATATTAGTTAAAGGGAACACCTGGCAAAAACTAATGGTCACCTTACCAATCGTTTGCGCAGCATCAAACAGTCGAGCCAGCGACCCCATGTAGTTCGCATTCGGCCCTGAAAATTGTGCGTTGCTCGGATCCCTTCTAGAGGGGCGACTTGTTGGGTGTTCCGTCATGGGCAACGTTTCTAGGCCTGGAGATTCCTTGCCGCTCTCTACCCCATTGCCCTTGGCATTAAAAGAGTTGTTCAAGCCCGCTGCCGAATTCTTGGACCGCAGCCTCCGCCACGAGAAGGACGAGGACTTTCCCGACACACTGGCTGAACGCGGCACGCTGATTGCGGCTTCAAGCTCCGCTGAGTTCGAAGCGTCTCGAAATAACATGCTGGAGTTCTGCACACCCACATCTGTGCCCAGTTTGCGTGTCAGTCCAACTTGCACTTGTTCGAGAATGCCCTCCAAAGCCTGCATCTCTTCGAGAACGGCATCCGCGTCGCATGTGTCGACTCGCGCAAGCTTCAGTAGCGCAGCTGTCAGGTAGTCGCACGTTGCCACTTTATCCTCCACATTTCGAATCTTGACGCCCTTCACCTTCCATACGTCGCGTGGAACAAATAACTTATTGCTGAGATATCCCCCGCGAGGATGAGCGAGCGTCTGATAAAGACATCGCATTAACCAAAAAGGCCTCAACATGTAGTCTGTTGGGCACGGTTCCAGGGGAATTGGGGCATCTGCCTGAAGTGCGTTTGGAGACCCCGGGCTCTGTGGTGAATGGAGGCTATCGTCGAATAGGTAAAGACCCCCAGCAGAGCTTGGTGTGAACTTCTCCTTGAAAGCAGCCGCCAATGGTGTCGGCAAGGTTGGCATCGCCGGATGCCTGCCATTAATGCCAAAAGCAGTACTCAATGGGGTGCCAGGAGACATGTCAGACGCATCGTCCAGGTTCGATAGAGACATATTCCGGTTCTTCATGCTTCTTAAGCTTGAGGAAGAAAAGTTCTTCCTTAACGTAGGTCGGAAGGAAGGCGAGCCAGAGTGGCTGCCGGTAAAGTCTTCACTGTCCCGGCTTCTTGAGTGGCCGAGCGGAGGTGTAGGGGGCACTGGTTGGGTTGGACTGATGCCCTCAGGCGGCGAATATGGCCGAGCCATTGAGCCATCCGCGTCAGCATCATTAGGTCCGTTGATGTCAGGGTGTTCGAAATCTACCCCTTGTATTCCACTTGACGCTTGGGCAACACTGTATCGCCGACCAGCATCGCTATACTTTGCAAGCTTGGTAGTCTCAATCTTCAGTTGCTTAGGATTCTGTCCGGACATCCGCCTGCTTCGTACACTTTGCCCAGGCCCTAGCGATGGCGTAGCCCCTGGTAAAGGCTTTTTACCGGGTAATTCTGGCAAAGCTTGTGCTGGTGGCGGAGCTGCAGGGCCTTCGACACTTGGAAAGTTGTTTGTGGCGATGGGCTCGATAACAGAGGAGAAAACATCACCAACTGCGGCATCGGTTGGAGGAACGGATACCTGCCAGGACGACTGGGCCAGATCACTTGAGCCCGAAGTCCTAGCTGCAGCCTGATGAGAGGCCAGGTTAAAGGCGAAATCGTCGACCGAGTAGTCTCGAGTAATCTCGTCAAGAATGCGCTCCTCTTCATCTGATGATCCATCATCGAAGAAGTCTTCGCGGACGACATCTTCGTCTGACTGCTGATTCATTTGACTTCGCGCAAGTCGTTCTCTCTCATTGGCTTGTTCAATAGCTTCTCTCTCCGTTTGGCGGACCCGCTCTTTGGCCAGCTCAACCTTTCTCAAAGCTTTCGCTACAATCGGATCATCTGATGCTTGAGTTTCTGATCCCAGTGTTTCTGGATCAGAAAATCCCGTTGGCTCATACCCATCGTCGTAGGCTGCTTCGACTGCGGCGTCTAAAGCTGCGTCAAACTCTGCTTCCGTCGCGCCGCTCGGGGCACGTATGTGCTTGCGCCTTATAACTGCAGATGACGACCTGGAATGAACAGAGGACGCTGTGGAGCCTCCAGACTCATCGATGGGGTCCAGCCATGAATTGGACTCACGACTTGAGTCCCTGACATGTCGAGAACTCTGGCTAGTTCGTCTTGTTGATAGGGAGAAGTCCGATCTGATGGGTCCATCGGGACTACCTTGACCGTCAGGCTTGGGTGACGAGAGGCGTCTCGGTGAGAGTGGCGGCGGCATGTAGGCGTCGTCTGTTGGTATTTGGAAGATGAGTTGATCATCTGATGCACGATCCCGAAGCGGGGATCGTGAGAAGGAGGACTGCAAGGGATACTGCTCCGGCAACCTTGCAGAAGCACTCCTCTGTCGATCTCCGAGACCATGCATTCGTGAGATGGTCAGACCAGAACCACTGTAGCTGGCTGCTTGTTGGTTTCCCTCTCTCAATATTCTGGTCAGCGTCGCAGTCTCTAATCCGTCCGTGTCCTCCAAATCTTCATCATCGTCATCGAACTGTAAGGTAGGATTCAAGCGCAGGCCCAGGCTTTCTGGTCTAGCTGGCAGTGCTTTGCCTTCTGTAACTTGCCGGACGGGAACCATTTGATCCAATTCTTCAATGCGACTGGTATATGTTCGGCGCTTGGTCTGGTTAGCTTCGGTTTCGGCCGTTTAAAACATGATCCCGTGAAACTCACGATCGCCTCCAACTTTCGCCTGTCCTCCTCGGTGGATGTCCTGGCAAGGACCTGGTGCAGCAGCTCACATGCCTCCGCATATGAATGCCTCGCACCCTCAAAGTTCTGCGCATTATCTAGCTGAACTGCCGTATTCGCCTTTTGTAAAGCTCGTGAGAGCATGGCTTTTTGCGATGGCGGGCGGTTTCCCCTTTCCTTGCCCCGCGAGGACCCAGTGGTGTCGGTACTCCCCTTTGCGGCCTGCGACCAACTGCGGGAGTGACCCTTCATCTCAGAGGCCTCCCCATTGCTTTCGGATGGCATTGCTACACGAGACGGCTGCTGTCGACGCTGTTCAATTGATCCTCTCCGCCCCGGACCGGAGAACGCATCCCAGGGCTGGCTTTGGTCAGTTACAAGTTCAGTCTCGAGCGAACGGGAGGCACCCGTTGGCGCTCGCAAGCCGTTTCCTGGGGTTGCGAGCTTGTTCGTTGTGGACGAGTTGTGGTTTTGGGATGTAAATAGGGTGAAATGACCTTCGGATTGCGTCAATCCAGATGGTGAAAAGGCGCGCAACTTGCTTCCGCTATGGGGTCCCAAGGAGCCGTCGCTAGAGTTGGATCGTCGTCGGTGTCTCGCGAGCCTTTGACTTGGCTGAATGGGTGCCAATATGCTGTCAGTCGCGGGCAGTGCAGACGCATCAACACTCACGCGGCGTGCAT